GATGTCTGGGTGTCTGAGAGGTTGCTATAACCACATTTTATCTATGATAGTACCTGTATGGGCACACAGACCTATGAAGGGAACTGTTTTGACTCTCCTCCTAGGCTCAGTACAGCTGGATCCTCCTGGGAAGCTAAGTCATGTGTTCACTACAGCATGGGGAAATAGAAGGCCTAGAATGAATATCATCTCAGCTTTTCCCGCAAAGTCATAAATAATGTGACATCAAATTACCCATTCCATTACTGCTTTCCTTTCCAGAAGCCCTTGTGCAACAGAGGGAGAAATAGGGGAGGGAGGAACATTGGCTGTGAAGTCAAGTGGAATGGAGCCTAGCTCCAGTCTGCTAAAAACTCCCTGAAGAATCTTTTCCTTTTTGGGGCTTCAGTCTTCACCCTCAGAAGGGACTTATTAAGGGATCTCAGAAGTAAGATACAGAGACCACCAATCCTATTCCTCATCCCTTACTCTCTGTGAGTGTGCATGTGTGCGTGTGTACATCCTCCTTGGAAGCAATGGCTGCTAAACCAAAGGGTTGCTTGAATCTTTTTTTTTTCAAACAAAGGTTTCTCATATTTATTGCTGAGCCAGCCTACTAGTGCAGAGCATATAAACAAAGAGAAAAATCATTTTCCCTATAAAACATGTCTGACTTCCCAAATTGTGATGACATTTCCAACTTGCTGTGGTAAGATGATAGTGACCCTGATACAGCATAAACATGTGTGCCACCTCATGTGCATTTCTCATAGACTTAGCTTGGTTCTTCTCCAATGTCTACTCTTGGAGTTGTACCAGATTTTATTACCGGTTTTCATCCAAATCCACTGGGGAGTGGGGCAATTTTGCTTTTTTTTTCTTGGCCAGAAATCACTTTATCTCAAATCTTGTTTCGATTCAAAGTGTAGTCCAAAGACCAGCAGGAATAGCATAACCTGGGAGTTTGTTAGAAATGCAGAATCTCAGGCCTAACACAAAAGTATTCAATCAAAATCTGCAATTTAACAAGATCCTTAAGGGGATCCCACAGTGCATTCAAGTCTGAGATGCACTAGTCCAGAAGACGTGGGATAAGACAAATGTAAGCCTGGAAAAATAATGAGATTTGATGTCAGGAAACCTGGGTACTAGTTCTAGTTCTGCCACTTACAGGCTGCTCAAATTGAGCAAGTCATGTAATCACCCTGATTCTCTTTTGTAAATGTGGTATTCTAAAAACTACAGAATGGTGTACAGATCAGTAGTATATGTATGGAGCCAAACTACCAACCTTAATTCCTGAGTTCATTTACAAGTTATAAAGCTTTGGGTGAGTTGCTTGACATATGTGGGCCTCAGTCTCCTTATCTGTACGATAGGAGTAATAATAATGATAGATATTAAGAATTTTTCAATGAGGTTATTAATGCAAATCACATACCACAATACTTGGCATAGTCCAAGTCCAAGGCACATCTTATTATACTCTGGCACTCTATAGTATTTTTTGAGAAAAGAAAGAGACCTCGAGAGTTGCCTGAAAGCTAGGTAAAGATTTCCACATTTGGTGTTTATCATGGTGTACACAATTCTCAGTAGGCACAGTCTCCCCAAGTCCAGAGCTTTAACATCTGAGCAACCAGACAGGAATTGGAATTGGTTTCATGATATTATTTTAGAGTCATCAACCAGTTCCTTCATGTGAATTCCTATTCCTCTGTTGTTTATTAACCTCCACTCAACTCGGGATACTCTCCTGCCTGTGGACTTGCAACTGGCATCACTCCTCTGCAGGACCTCACGCAGCTCAGAGTAGATCGTCATCAGGACATTGCCTGATGGACCTGTCGCCACACTCACGGGAGGGCAGGCATCTAGGGAAGAAGCAGGCACAAGAGACCTTCAGGCAAAACACTAACCCACAGCAAGAAAACAAACATGACAGAACTCCTGCCCACCACAATTGCTCAGAATGCTGTCCCTAGGATACGGGAAAAACCCAGAGATGCCTTCCAGTAGCTGCTGCTCATGTCAAGAACATTCTGACAAACGACTTAGCAAGTCATTTGCTGAGTCATTTGCAAGTCAAACTGCATTTCAGAAGGTCCAATGCACCAAGATGACTGGAACAAACTAGACTGGGTACTAATGCACACGATAATGTTGTGGCATCAGGAATGGCATAAATTTCACTCAAGTGGAAGCCTAACCTCTGAACTAAAAATTTCTATAGCTGGATGAGTGTGGCGATTCTGGGCAAGGTTGGTGCCAGGCAGAGACACAATTGTGCAAGGAAATGACAAAAGGGAAATCCAGAGTGTGGATGGTCCACCAAGGGCCCTGGAACATCCCGTGGTGTATGGGAGAGGACAATAAAAACTAACACCATTTACCGGGCGCTTGCCATGAGCTGTTCCGGGGCTTGGGGCCCTAGAGATGTTCCTATGAACGATAGCAGCCGTCTAGGACAGGCGGTCCTTTGCTCTGGCGGTGACCTGGAGACTGAGGATAAAGAGGCCAGTAAGTGGTGGATTCCAGCCATCTCTTCCAATGAATTAGTGGATCCCAACAGCCCCAGCAGTGTGTGGGCTGGAAAAGCACCTCTATGTGTCTCTTGATTCTTGAATGTCAGCATCATGAAACATATGGCAAATGCTGACATTGCAATAAGGGCATGCCTTTTATCAGGTGCCAGCTAAAGCTGTCTCTTTCTGGCAAACGCCAATTCCTGCACAATCAGGATACGGGGAGGCTGCCCAGGGCCACAGGCCAGTTGATTCTGCAGCTTGAGGTTTCTCTACTGTCCTCAGGACACCCTTGGATTAAGTGTCCTGCCTACTGATAAAACGTCTGAAAAGGTTATGCGTTCTCTCCTCTAAGAAGAAATCAGTTGGTATCTCTAGATCTGGCCATCAGTTAACACATGCAGGTAAAATCCCAAAACGGCAAACATTCAACACACCTATGTCCACGGAAAAAAGAAATGCTCTCTTTTACTGGGACTTCTACAAGAGGCTTAGACAGGGTCACTTCCCAGGAGATGGTTGTACTGAGTTTGCAGATTTGGGCTGTGACTCATTGAAATTAGCTGGCGATGTGAATTAACATGCAGAGGATAAAGGGAGAGAGGAGAAACACCCATATTAGAATAGAAATTAAATGTCTGATGGATCCCCTGGTCATCTTTGACACTCACATCCAAGACTAGCATGTGGCACCAGTTGCCTCCAGCACAGAAGGAACTGCTGTGTGTTAGGGTAAGGATAGGGTGAGGGTGGAGATGGAGAGGCGCAGCACCACCAGAGCCGGCAAGCCTGAGGTGCGTGCTGGCAACCCAGAGATCTGAGTAATGCAAAGAACTGCAACACACAAAGAGGCAAAAAAAAAGAAAAGTTTATTTAAAAGTAAATTCGAGAGGGAGAGAGAAGATTCACCACCCAAGGTGGGGGAGGGGGCCAAAGCCAGGCAGCGTGGTGACAGCCAGAGCTCAGAGAGCACATGGCCACACCAGAGTCTAGCAAGGCAACGGCCACTGGCTGCTTGTGGTTGAGTCCCTTTAACCATTCCCCTTGATGGGGGAGCATCATTATGGTGATTGGGTGGTGGTCTGCTCCATGTCATCACGACGGGGCAGGCAAGTGCAGGTAAGGGAGGGTTAGTCACATGATTGCTGCCATGGTGGGGTTTATCTGTGTCACCTAGGTCACAAAGGGCTGGTTAGGTTAACTTGGGGAGTCTGGGCCTGGAGGGGTTTTTCCTGCAAGAGACTTGTTAGACATTTGCAATTCACAAACTCCTTGACCAAAGGTGGTTGTATTATCACTTTTATGACTTTGGCCAGCCAAAGGGTGATCTTTGATCTTCGGCCTTGACAAGGAACCTAAAAGTTCACTAGAGATTATTATGCTGAGCCATGAATTGAAAGGTTGGGCTGTCCTGGTCTTGCATCTGATGGAGATTTGTCCAGGGGGGATGGGATAGGCTGCTGCTTGTCCTGCAGTAGAATGTCTGAAGCTTTCTAATGCCTGTGCTGAGGCAAAAAGACCAAACCAGCAATAAGCTAAGCTTCTTCTAGGTTTCTATAGGTACCACCTTTCACTGTGTACCTGGGCTGAGACCCTGCCATGCCTGACCCAAGGAGACCTGCTTGGTGACCGGGAGGGCACAGCAAACTGATACCACACTTGGCCTCTTGCCCTCAGACCCTGACAGGCAAGAGAAAACTTTCCCTGAGGCACAAGACCTTTCAGCGGGCCACACCACGGGCTGACTTTCTCAGAGAGAACAGCCTCTCGGCTACTTCACAGCATTCTCGAAAGAGCAGAAACCAGGTTCTGCCAGGGTGTCTAGGGTCCCAGGAACTGGAGCTTCTCCGCCTTACAGAAAACCAGAACGAGAGTTTCTTTCCTCGTTTCGGGAAGCTACTGGCTCTGCACTCCGAAGCCCCTCCTCTAGGCTGCTCCCCCGACGGGGCCAGTACCCCTGCCCTCAGAACAATCTGAGCCAGGGCCAGAGCCCAGCTCCTTACTGCCACCCCCCCACCTCTCACCGGGCCCCTCGACGGCTATCGCGCCTTCGATCCACTATTGCCGGGGGAAACCGACTCTTTTCTCCTATCCCAGGGGAGGAAAGACGCGGAACCCGTGGCTTTGGGGATGGAGGGGCGCAAACACCCCAGGGCTGCGGCGACAGGGAGGGCCGCGCGGCACGGGAGAACCAGATGGGCGAAGGGGCTTCGGCCTCGGTGCGGGCGGGAGCCTGGCCGCTGGAAAGTCCGTGCGGAGTCCGTTCGCCCCTCGCCGCCCAGGGAGCCTCCCGGGTCTTTTGTAGGACTCGGCGCGGAAAAAGGTCGCAGGCTCTCGTGGCTCCCTCACGCCTCAGAGCGAATAAAGCTAGAAACACGGCCTGCGAAAGGCGCCATGACGGCCAGCGGCGCTGGTGCCCCGCCCCCGTGCCACTGCGCGTGCGCCGCGCAGCGACCTCGCGTTCCCAGGGGGCGTCGAGAAGCGGAAGTGCTCGGCTGACCCGGGAGGGCGGCTCCCAGCGCACGCTGGCTGTCGTCATCCGCTCCCAAGGTCTCCGGCTCTTGGCGGTGAAGTAAGGCGGAGGGGGAGATGGTGATGGGTTTGATCGGGGGGTTGTTCGGGGAGGCGTGGGTGAGCGCCCCGTGGGGGTTGAGTGACACTGGCCGGGGGCGTGAGGGTTGGGGCGAGGTTCGGGGGCCAGCGAGTGATGCACTGAGTCATTGGACGACTGATTCCTGAGCGCCCAGTAAATGCCAGGCACCGTTGCAAGTGTTTCGCGTTCATCTTCACCGGAGCCCTGTATCTTCATTCAGAGAGAGAAAACAGCAGAGTGGCTCGGCAGCCTGTCCAGAGTCACTTTGGTAGCAGAGCCGAGGAATCCGTTTTTCCCTCCCTTTTCACTACTTTATTATGTTTATTGTTTCCTGTATGTCTCCCTCGCTGGGATATAAACTCCGCAGGATCGGAGAACTCAGGTTTTGCCCACGGAAGTATTTCCAACACGCAGAACAGGCACGTAGAAGGCACTCGTTTCTTCAGTGAATAAATGTGGCACAGTAGGCGATCGGTTGATTCCAAAGCCTGGACTCCTAGTGGGGCACCGTTTAGCTCATTGACGATAGTTGAGCTCTGTGTGAATGCTGACTTCTAAGACTAGAATGAGGCATTGCGTCTGCTTCTATGGAGTGGAAACCTTTGGGTTGTACTGCACTTCGCTCCATGGAAAGCAGCATAGGGGTTGCTAATGGAATCTCCTGTGGTCATTGTGTTTCCAGGGTCAGAGTGCATAACTGAGACCACTGCTCGCCACCTTCAGACGCCAGCGTCTCTGCCCCCTGCTTGGTCACTTAGGCTGAGGAGACCCAGGCTGAGGCCTCAGGAGGAGGTGAGTTCCCCTGGTCACAGGTAGAGATCTGGTGCTGCAGTGTGGTCTTAGCTGAGGTGCATTTCTCTCTCTCAATTTCTTGATCCTGCCTCCTTGGGAACAAGACAGGTGCTCTGAGGCGAGTTGGAGGAGAAGGCTCAGCCCAGTGCCAGACCCTGTCGGCACAGGGAGGAGGCTCACAGGACAGCAGGTCCTAGAGGAGCTGGTTCTGCCATGGCCTTTGTTTCTCTTTCAACTGAGAGAGAGCAAAGCTGGCTCAACTTACAGGCATCACGGCGGACCATGTGACAGTGCAGTTTGATCCCTGTGGGAAGACAGAGGGATGAAAGTCACAGGTGGAGGGAGGTGTAGATGGCCCCACGGGAAGGTGCCCTGCTGTAGTGCTCACAAAGGCCGGATGAGGCTGGGAAGGATCACGACCAGCCACGGTGTATTTTGTCCTCTCCTAGCACCCCTGTTTGTGCATCATTTTTGCTGCCCTCTCTTGCCATTGGCTGCTTGTGGATTTGAGCCAATCTCACAGCATCAACCTTTTGCCTGCTTCTAGGGGAACTTGTGAATCTCCCTCCATCCTGACCAAAGTGCAGAAAATGGATTTTCAGTAGAATTTCTTAGTAGTCTCTAGGCATACATGCTGTCATCCAACTCTGCTGCCTTATTTTGATGCTTGATGAAACTGGGAGCGAGACGGTGACTTGCTAAGGAGTCTGAAATCCTGTGTCCTGATGCTGAGCATGAGTGATTGCTGCAGTATTCAATACTCACTCTGCACAGAAAGCTCCTTGCTAGAAAGTTTCTTTTGAATAACTGCCAAACAAAGAAAGAGCATGGCAGTCCAGATGCAACTGGTGGGAAAGGAGGAAGTGATGGGATGGGAACAGGGTAAGGGGCAGATAGAGTGGAGGGTGCAGGGGGGGCAAGCACATGGTTTTCAGCTCCACACTGAGCTGACGGTGCTGGGTCGTTACCCACCAACCCCTTCGTCCCTCCAGGCCTCTGAGCCCTGGTCTGTCTCCTTCCAGCAAAGCACATCAGGAGATCCTTCTGATGCACACTTTGTTGAGGGTCTTCACCTCTAGGGCTCAGTTTGATAATGGGTGGCTTTTAATAATTTTTAGTTTTCATTTCACTAGTGATTAATATTCATTGTCAGAAAATGAATATTAAGAAAATGCAAATAAACACAAGAAGAAAACTGAAGTCACCACCCAAAGGTAACCCATGTCAACATTTTAATAAATGGTCTTTGGCATCCGCTATATGTACATATTGCTTAACAAAAATGAGATCACACTACATGTGGTTGTTGCGGTCTGCTTTTAATCAGGTTCACTACTGAAAACAAAGTTCTGTAGCATCTCGAAAGCCCATGCCATGTACCTATTTTTGCGTGCGTCGTATTTTGTAACACAGTCCCCTTTGCTGGACAGATAGTTGCTTCCAAAGCTTTGATGGTGGAAATGACTGCAGTTCATATTCTTGCAGCTTAGCGTTCATTTATGATTGCTTGATTGTGATACGTTTCTAGGAATCGAATCCTTGTGATAAAAGAGGTGTCAAGTGGTTTATGGTTTGAGCTACACGTCTTTAGACACAAATCATACATCTGTCCAGTAAGGGAAACAAAATATCATGCGCAAAACCCACACGATCTCAGTAGAGTCCAGTGGGATCAGGCTGGAACTACCAGGCCATTATTAGATCATTCTCCCAAGGGTGGGAGGTAATTATTATTGGGGTGGGGATGATGGTCTCATGTCTCTACCCACTGATCTTAACCTTCCTGATTCTGCCGTTTAGATCGCCATCCTTTGTCTGGAGCAGAACAGGATGACCATGTCCCAGGTGAGTTCCTGATTTTCCCCTACTTTGTTTCCAGTGAAATTGAGGAAACTTTTAAGAATCTATATACTAAGCCTGAAAAATATCAATTATCCCCTCCTCTCTGGCTGTTTTCTGTTTAACCTGTTATCCACCTCTGGTTTCTCTAATTCTTTTCCTCACCAAGACAGAGGAAAAACAAACAACAAAACAAGCTGTCTTTCTCCAGTTGTTCCTCTGGGAGCTGCACCTCATCTATCCCTCTTTTCCTTCTCAGAGAAGATTGTTGAAATACCTAGACTCATCTCGCTTTTCCCTCTTTTACTTCTAGATCACTTGTTCTTTTTCATTACTTTTAAGGTAATAATTTCATGTGTAATGCTTTAATGTGCGTAGAAAAATCCAGCTGCCAAATGTTTCTGTTTTCTTCTTCCCTTAGTAGCACATTCCTCAGAGATGCCTACCATTGGCCCGGTGTGGTGGCTCACGCCGGTAATCCCAACACTTTCAGATACCTAGGCAGGAGACTCACTGGAGGCTAGGTGTTTGAGTCCAGCCTGGGGAACATAGTGAGACCTTATCTGTACAAAAAAATAATTAAACTAGCTGGATGTGATGGCGTGCGCCTATAGTCCCAGCTACTTGAGAGGCTGAGGTGGGAGGATTGCTTGAGCCCAGGAGGCCGAGGCTGTAGTGAGCCAGGACTGCACCACTGCACTCCAGCCTGGGTGACAGAGCGAGACCCTGTCTCAAAAAAAAAAGAAAAAGAAAAAGAGATGCCCACCATTAATACTTCTTTGAAACCATGGGGCAGATGAATTTATGTCAATTTAATGAGCTAAAAACATAGAGTTTTGTATGTTTCGACACAAATGGCATCATACTGCCATACCCATCTTGCTTTTTCCGCCTGATTATATTCTGGGTGGTGTTGCTTGCCAATATATAAAGATTTGTTTTATTTCCAATTTCATAGCATGAATATATCATTTAACCGTTTCTCTATTCGTGGGTATTTCGGTCTTTAATTTTTTTACTACTGTAAACAGCGTTGCACGAATAACTTCCTATGTATCTGTTTGCTCAGTAGTAGAAGTGTTTATAGAGGTTTTACCTGGAAGCTGGATTTTTTTTTTCGTGAAAGCTACTGAAGTTTTGAATTTGTCCTCCCAAATTCTTCATAATTACTCCTTTCACTAGATTTTAAGAGCAGATCATTTCAGTATTGCAGTTTTCCAGGTTGTCCACGATGAAAAGGCACCCAATTCATTGTGTGAAGCCACTTAACCTGAAGTTTAAGGAAGATGCTACAAAAAAGAAAACTATAGGCCAGGTTCACTTAAGAATGTGGGTGCCAAAATTCTAAAAATATTCTGAATAGAACATTGGTAAATTGAATTGAACATTTTAAAAGTAACGCATGCGCGTGGTAAAAATTCCAACCAAAGCTTTATTCAACAAAAAGGTGAAAAATAATTCTCCTGCCCCCACGATGCCCTCATTTTTCAGGCACTCTTCCAAACATCATGTGTATATGTGTCTCAATGTGCGAATCTCTTTCTCTGCTCACTGGCTTGTGTGCACGGTCTCAGACTGTCTCTTTCTAGCAAATCACAGCACATTCTGGTCCTTTTCTTGATGATCTGTCCACTTTTCTCGTGTTGAGTCTGCTCCAGGGTGTCTCACTGGGGCACTATTGACATTTTGGTTCAATTTCGTTATATGCTGTGGGTCGCCTTCCTGTGCCTTGTATGTGTAGCAGCATTCCTGGCCTTAGTCTGGTAGATGCTATTAGAACCCCTCCCCCCAGGGTTGACAACCAGACTGTCTTCAGTCATTTCCAAATATCCCCTGGGTGACAAAATTATCCAACATTTAAAACCAGTGATCTGACTCCATTTACCAGTTTGGCTGCTCGGGTAGAAACACCATTATTTATTACCTTTTTCCTAGTGATCGGCATTTGGGATAGTTCTAGTCTCTTGCTACCGTCAACAATGTGGCAGTGTACAGTGCATTCTTGTTGCGTGCATATGAGTACACCTGTCGGATAACTTTCTAGAAGTGAGCTTTTCTTTTTGTGTGTATGAGTTAGAATCTCATTCTGTCACCCAGGCTGTAGCGCAGTGGCACGATCACGGTGTCGTGATCGACCTGCTGGGCTCAGGCCATCCTTCCGCCCCAGGCTTCCAAGCAGCTGGAGCTACAGGCATGCACTACCACTCCTGGCTAATTTTTGTTTGTTTGTTGTAGAGACAAGGTCCCGCCAAGTTGCCCAGGCTAGCGAACCCCGGGGTCAGGCAGTCCTCTCGCCTCCGCCTCCCAAAGTGCCAGATTTACAGGCGTGAACCACCATACCTGTCTGTGTGTATCTTGAAGACTGATTCAGAACTGTCATATGAGATGTACCGGCTGGTACTCCTAGCAACAGCATAATGCCTTTTTCCGTAAACCAGCAACCACTGTGTGTTATCCAATACTTTGGTTGTTGTCATCATGGAGAAAAGAGTGGTGCATTTTAATGTGCACTTCTTGGATTGAGTGACTTCATATTTTAAAACGCCACCTGTACTTCTTCAAATAAAATGTCATTTGACCCTTTTCGTCCTGGGTGTGAAATTGACATTAATTGTCGGATGCCAGCTCTTTATGTTAACCTAAGTAAAGAAGATCTCTGTCCTATATGTTGGAAATGATTTTTCGTAGTTTGTCACTTGTTTTGAGTTGGTTTACCTTACATCTTGGGGAGTGGACATGTAAGTTTTCACAGTATTTGATGACTTTTGGAATTCTCACGTTACTGAAGTAGGATTCTGTGAGTCGAGATGGTAGACATGAGATATCATTTCTGTGGGAAAAATTAGTCAGTGAATGATGAAGGCACAGTTGAGTCTTCGTCTGGATGGAAACTCCTCTACACCCTATCAAAGTACATTTCAGATCGATTGAGACCTAAATATAGATAAATAACGATATATCGGTGTATACAAATATAATTTCATTCTGCTGTTTGAAAAATAGGTGCAAATTTAGATGGATATTTGTATAATGTTGTTCAGAGCAAGAAACATTTGAAATGAAGACAGTTAAGCCAAACACCATAAAGAGAGGACTCTCAAATTGGAGTTCATTAAAATATTAAGAACTGTACAGTCAGCTGGGCTCGGTGGCCCAGACTGTAATCCCACACCTTGGGAAGCTGAGGTGAGTGAATTGCCTGAGCCTGTGGGTTCGAGACCCGCCTGGGCAACTTGGCGAGACCTCATCTCTACAATAAATCAAAAAATGAGCCGGGCGTGGTGGCGCGCGCCTGTAGTTCCAGCTACTTGGAAGGCTGAGGCGGAAGGATCGCCGGAGCTCAGCAGGTCGAGGCTGTGGTGGCCGGGAGTGGCCACTGCACTCCAGTCTGGGTGACAGTGAGACTCCAACTCAAAAAAAAAAGAACTGTACAGTCAAAAGACACATTTGTGACTGAGAGAAAATATATATGATGCGTATGACACCCAGAGGATGAGTATACAGAAAACGCAAATTGGTGATTGAAGAAGAGAAAATGTGGTAGAAAAGTAGTCAAAAGACAGGGCAGGCTATTCATAATAAAAAAATGGAGTGCCATAGGAAAAGATGTTTACCCTCCCCGGGTTTCAAGCCAGGAAACAGGACTCATTTTTCTTCCTTTTTTCTTTTGCATTCCAACAAATGACCCAGTCTTAGCCTTCTACTAGCTTTTTGTTTTCCGGGCATTTTTTTGTTTTGTTTTTACACACACACACACACACACACACACACACACACACACACACACACACACACACACACACACACCAGCATTTTGCATGGGTTGTTTTAAATGAAAATACGCTCTTTCTATGCACTTTCTGAAATTTACTTGTTTCATTTAGACAGATGTATCCCAGACATACCTACATTGTCAGTCAGTTTTTTTCGTGACAGCTCACCACTATAGATGTAGCAATTTATTTAACCGCTCTGGAGTCCTCCCAGTCCACATGCAGTATGTCTACCAGTTGGGCCATTTTTATCATAAGCCCTGCTGCCTGTGAGTACAGCTGTCATTACCATTATTGGGTTCCCAAGAACCCCGGACATTTAGGGCTTTTTGCTTCTACTTTTTGGTAATACAAAGATTGCCGTGGGCATCCCCATGAACATATAAATATTTCAGTGGGATACAGTCCTGTAAATGGGACTGTTGATTAAAATGAGAGGAGAAAACCTTTACTAGCTACAGCCAAATGGCCTGTGATCCAGCCTTCATGAGAGTGAGTACTCATGTTTCAGGACTCTCATCAACAGTGACTATTATCCATCTGCAGAATGTTCACCACTCACAGATGAAGATAATGTCTTACTGTTCAATTAGTATGTTTTTGAGTTTTAGTGAGGTCTGTCATCTTTTTTGTATGGTTTCTAGGCCACTATTGTTTCTGTTAGTATGCGTCTTTTTTCCATTCTTCTGGGTTGTCTTTTCTTATTCCCGTATTGAAGGCCTAGGATAAAATCTTAGAAAGGGCATTTCTGTGTCAAGGGTATTTGCGGTATACATTGTAAGATATATTAACCAATTGTTCTACCACAAAATATGGTAACAGTGTCTAACTTTTTTGGTGTCTTTTCTTCGTATGTGACTGTACTAGGTATTTTCAACTTTTTAAATATTTAAGAATATAAAGAGTGACATGTGGTAGACTATTACACATTTGTTTTCTTTTTCTTTTATTTTTTGAGGAAGGTGTCGGGGCCTCACTTTGTTGGCAGGGCTGGAGTGCAGTGGCAGGGTCAGGGCTCACTGCAGCCTTGAATCCCTGGGCTCAGGTGATTCTTCTGACTCCACCTCCCATGTAGCCAGGACTACAGGCACATGACACAATGCCCGGCTAATTTTTTTTTTTTGGTAGAAATGAGAGGTCTTGCTACGCTTCCTAAGATGGTCCTGAACGCCTGGGGCTCAAGCAATCCTCTGGCCTCTGCCTCCCAAACTGTTTGAATTACAGGCATGAGCCACTGTGCCTGGCTGGTTGTATAGTATTTTTTTTTTATTTGGAGGCTTACTCTGTGTCACTGGGTCAGATAGTATAAATTTATTTTATTTTATTCTGATTGTATATTAGATCGTGGTCTTTTGCTTACTGATTTGCCAGAAGTTTAGTGTATGAAGAAATTTATCCCATTGTTATGTATGTTACAAATATTTTTCTCTCTCCGATATTGATGTTTCATAATTTTTAAAATTTACATTCTGCTATTTTAAAATTTCTAATGTCTAAGTAGTCGAGTTTATCAGTCTGTAGTTGTATGTCTTCTGAATTTGGGGATTGCTTAGAAAGGCTTTTTTGTCGTTGTTGAGTTGGAGTCTTACTCCTTCACCCAGGCTGGAGTGCAGTGGCACACTCACGGGCACCCCAGCATCAACCTGCAGGGCTCAGTCGATCCTTCCACCTCAGCCTTCCAAGCAGCTGAACTGCAGGCGCGTGCTACCATGCCCAGCTAATTTTTAAAATTTTTATTGTAGAGATGAAGTCTCACCAAGTTGCTCAGGCTGTTCTGGAACTGTGAGTGCAGGCAATCCATTCACCTCAGGCTCCAAAGTGCTGGGATTACAGGCTTGAGACACCGCGCCCAGCATAGAAAGGCTTTCAACCACCCTGAAATTATAGAAACTTTAAACTTATTGGTTAATTTTATGGCTATCGTGTATACACTTAAATCTCTGATTTATCTGTAATGTATTTTGTAGTTAGGAAAGTAAGATAGGTAATCCAGTTTTAAGGAGCCTTTTCCTTCCATCAATGCATAGCCGGATTTCCTAATGACTGTTCTAGCTATTATTAACTTTTTAAATGTTTAAGAATATGAAGAGTGGTACATGGTAGACTATTATACATTTATTTTATTATTTATTTTTATTTTATTTTGGGGGGAGGGTGCCAGGATCTCACTCTGTCACCGAGATTGGAGTGCAGTAGCAGGATCAGGGCTCACCACAGCCTTGAACTTCTGGGCTCAGGTGATTCTTCTGCCCCCACCTCCTGAGCAGCCAGGACTACAGACACATGACACCATGCCCAGCTAATTTTTTTTTTGTTGTTGGTAGAGATGAGAGGTCTTGCTATGTTGCCTAGATGGTCCTGAGTTCGCCTGGGATCAAGCAATCCTCTGGCCTCTGCCTCCCAAGCTGCTGAAATTACTGGCGTGAGCCACTGTGCCTGGCAGGTTTTATTGTATTTTTTTGATTCAGAGGCTTACTCTGTGTCACTGTGCCAAATAGTATGCATGTATTTTGTATTATTTTGATTGTATATTAGATTGTGTTCTTTTGCTTACTGATTTGTCAGAAGTTTAGTGTATGAAGGAACTTATCGCATTGTTACGTATGTTGCAAACATTTTTCTCACTTTGATACTGATGTTTCACAATTTTTAAAATTTTCACTCTGGTATTTTAAAATTTCTAATGTCTAGGTAGTTGAATTTATCGTTCTGTAGCTGTATGTCTCCTGAATTTGGGGATTGCTTGGAAATGCTTTCAACCACTCCAAAATTATAGAAACTGTAAACGTCTCTGTTAATTTTGTGATTATTGTGTATACCCTTAAATCTGTCATTTATCTGTAATGTATTTTGTAGTTAGGAAAGTAAGATAGGTAATCCAGTTTTAGGAGCCTTTTCCTTCCATCAGTGCCTAGCCAGACTTTCTAATGGCACCTTTTCTTCAGAGATTTAAGATACTTTTATAATGAACTGTACTCTGACTGTGTACACATAGGATCTCTTAGTGGTTTTTAAGTTTCGTCATCATCATCATCTTTATCATTTTTAGTGGTGTGTTTCTAGAAACCTGAGGGTGGAATGATAGCTGTATTACTGGGTCTGCAAGATAGGGAAGAAAACCAAAGTGTTTTTCCTACTCTCACTCAACGTGACACTTGTGGCATGAGATGCGTGGTGGTTGTTACCCACCCACCAAGCAATTCTCCCGTGGAAACCAGCTGGGTGTCCTCTGAGTCCATTCGATTCAGACACTGTCTACAAGGAGACAGCTCTTCAGATTCCACAGGTTGAGGGCTTGGTCCCCAGCTTCAGATGCCAGTCACAGGTAGTAGGTGGTCACCTATACTTCTGAATGATGGGTTGTCAATTGGGTCGTTCGGACCCCCTCCTCAGGTTCAACTCATTTTCTAGAGGGTGTCATGGAACTCAGGGAAACACTTTACTCATGTGTACCCATTTATTTTAAAATGTGTTACAGAGGATGGAAGGGATACACAGGGCAAGGTATGTGGAAAGGCACATGGAGCTTTCTTGCTGTCTCTAGATTCACCAGCATCTGGGAACCTCCAAGTGTTCGGCTCTCCAGAAGCTGTCGAAGGCTAGCCCTTTGGGGTTTTGATGGAGGCTTCATTACATAGGCATCATTGATTGAACCATTGCCCATTGGTGATCCACTCGACTTTCAGCTCCTCTTCCCTCCCCAGAATTCGGGGGCTGGGGCTGAAAGTCCCAACCCTCTAATCTTGCTTTAGTGTTTTGATGATCAGTCCCCATCCTGAAGCCACCTAGGGGCTACCAGTCACCATTTGTCTCATTTGCATACAGAAGACACTGTGATCATTCCAGTGCAGATTCCAAGGGCTTTAGGAGCTTTTCTCCGGGAGACAGGACAAAGACCCAATATGTATTTCCCAGTATCAAGCCAGGCAACATTACTTAGGATAAAAATGCCTCCTGATTGGTAAACAAACTGTATCTGGGCTGGGAAGACTGTGAAAAATTGTCAATAGCTAGTAGTGAACCACAGATTTTTGTTTTCCTGAGAGTACGTTGTCACTCTTGTCACTGGGCATATCGTTTGATTGGACAATGCCCAACTGGACTATTACAAGAGATATGGACATATGGAGCGGGTCAGGGCTTCTAAGCAAGATCATCCCTGCATTCAGCAGTCTAGTTTGTTCCCAGGCATCTGCAGTGTCATTTGGGAAGGGCAGTTTGGGCTAATAGCTACCGAGCTACTAAATTGCTCTGAGAAGCCCTCCTACTGGAGAGACCTGCCTGTCACTGCCCTCTGCCTCTCTGGCTTTCCTCTCTCCTATCCTTCTGCCCAGCTGAGTAAATTGATACCTGCTGTGGCCAATTTGGGCCTCGTGGGCGCAACACCTCTCAGTGACTCAAAGACCACCAAGTGTGGGCATGACAGGATGGGATCCAGAGCATAAACAGGTGGGTTATTGGTCTCTGGTAGGAATTAGGGCACTTTTAGAAGTGAGTTCTTTGGTGGTGACAAGGCCAAACACAGACCTTCCGCTGTTTCCTCTGTCAGCTGCCCTGGCCACAGACCCTCTGGCTTCCTGTTCTTTGTCTCGTGATTGATGAGTGAAGGTCAGAACTGTTTGTCATGATTGACTATGTTTAGAACTGTTTGTTGTAGCTCTGTATCGCATGTGACACCTGCTCTGTCAGCCCCAAGCAGAATTGACTCCTGGGCCTCCTGGACCCTGTCTCACATCTGTCATTGCCCCTGTAAGGCGGGTCCCCTCCACCCCTCCCTTTCATCTGTGAGTTTGTGTTGTTTTATTCCCTCTGCTAAACTGAAACTCCTTGTTGAAGAGGTGTTTGTTTGTTTTAAATTAATCTTTACTTCTGCAGGACTTAGCAGCTTGGTTTCTATTCAGTAAATATGTGTTGAATGAATGTGTTTCCAGGCTAAGATATTTCTAATACCCTATCTGTTTCTCCTGTGAGGTTTAAAATAATTTTAGTCATATCAGTACTCTATATTATACACTATGCCAAACTGTGACTAGTGAATAGCATAAGGACAAGTACCTGGAGAAACGTGGGTGCCGAAGCCACACCATATGTACTGGAATCCCTCATTCCTAGCTGTGTGACCTGGGCTAGTTACTTTAGGCTCTGTGTGCCTCATGTTCCTCCTCATCTATCAAGTTTCTCCTTGGGTGGCCATGAGGATGGAAATCTTAAGTGTGTGTAAAGGGCTCAGAAAGGACAGAGTCAGCCCTTCATGTGTCGTGTCCCAGTCCCCTGAACTGATCTCTTTGTGCTAAAGAGGAATGTGCTGCTGCAGGAATCATTGACCTTCAAGGATGTGTTTGTGGACTTCAGCCGGGAAGAGTGGCAGCAGTTGGATTCTGCTCAGAAGACCCTCTACAGAGATGTCATGCTTGAAAACTACAGCCACCTGGTGTCCGTGGGTGAGGAACTGCTCCACAGTGTGATGTAGAGTACAGCCAGTAGTGTCTCCCTCTCAGCTGCTGCAAGCTCTGGGGCCTTGGAATCCCTCACTGAGTTGGGCTTAAGGCTCACTGTCACATGTTCATAGTCCTGTTTGGACACTGGAAAGCAGCATATTGGTGCCTTCGCCTGCTATGTGAATAGCTATGTGCATGGGGCAAATCGCCATTTGCATGGGGAAGTCTACTGAGGGCATGCTGTCTTCAGCTTGCAGGGATGTGCCTTGGTTCTGGATTGCATCCAGCGTTAATGACTAAATCCTATGTCATTTCCCCTGAACAGGGTATCTACTTGCCAAACCAGATGTGATCTTCAGGTTGGGACCAAGAGAAGAGTCCTGGATGGCAGATGGAGGAACTCGGATAAGAACCTGTCCAGGTGAGCACACGCCAGGCGAGTCAGGCCAGGGAAAGGGGAAGTGTTTGGTTGGTGAGAGCTTGGCTTCTGGGATATGCTCAGGAGCTTTCCTCAGAGCCCCCAGACTTGTGGACATGCCCCAGATCTGAGGACACGAGCTGGTTTCATATGCAGATGAGGCCTCTGCCTGGCAGCCTTTTTAGTCTCCACGATCTTTGCTTGGTGTTCACACAGAGTATGGCCACTCTTGTTCACAGATCCCCTTTCTACCTTCTAACCTCCTGGCTTGCTAGTGAGAGGTGCTAAGCACGTTCTCATTCCTTTCCCACCTCCTTTCTGGAAGTTTTTAGGACTTTTTCCTCCTCTTTGGGCCTTTGTATTGTCACCAGAGTAGATGTAGGTGGTGGTCTTTCCTCTTT